CTACAAACTGGCTCCTCTTCCTCTGTTTTATTCCTCTCCTGTCGCTGCCTGAACCTGCTGGGTCTTCATTCCCAGAATCAGAGTCCTGGTCGGAGCAAAAACAAAAGTAGTACAAAAGTTTTGTACTAAGACTGAAAGTGGCAGAAACTGCTCGCCTCACTCTTCAAACCACAGGAGCACATTTCACTTATTTTTTTACAAGGACAAAGGAAAAAATCCTTCAATTAAAGATTGTATCGGGTCTCAGAAGCTAGTGGACCAGCAGCTAGACAGGAAATGTTATCAGGGCCATGGCTCTTTGTTTTGTCCAGTATGCGTCGCTGCAGTGACTGTGTCCTATCTCTCCAGCTTTATGAGATCCTGGCCAGGACTCCGTACGGTAAAGTGAAAACAGGGGAGGTGGGAATTGACCGACTGCTGAGTGAGCAGGTCTTCACTGCTGCCTACCCACTGCACGAGGTGACCTCCTTAACCCTAATCCTTAACCCTGTCATTATTTCTCATTATTCTGAGTTACTAAGTCATTGTTTACATGCTATGTCGTTATATTTTTTATTTATTATTTTATTTACTTATTATTTTTATCTTACAGTATGTTCTACTTTTATACTATGTTTGCAGGGAGGTTTCCAGCTGCCAACGACCCCAGTCCCCCCCACGTCTTTAGGTCTGAGACAGATCCTGTATACATACTGGGCCAAGTGGTCCTGCTTTAGACGCTACCAACCTCTGGATCACATTAGAGAGTACTATGGAGAGAAGATAGCCCTTTACTTTGCCTGGCTTGGTAACTATATCAACCACACTAGTAAGCAACTATAACCAACCAACTATTACCACTTTGGTTGTTTAATCAGTAACCGTGTCCGACTGTAGGTTTCTACACTGGCTGGCTGTTGCCGGCGTCTATCGTTGGGCTGTTGATCTTCTTTATTGGGTTCTTTCTCATGGCCACTGATGTTCCAGCGTAAGTATAAACTCATGTCAGACTTTCATTCTAATTTTGATGAAAATACTGACACTAAAATGCAGCATTTATCATAGAATCTATGAAGATATATTCAGGCAGTCTCCATGTTTTGGCCATGTTTAGTGTTTAGATGTTAACTATTTACTTCAAAGCACTATTTATTATCATATAGCCATGTTACAAATAACATAAATCTCCCCAAAACATTGAAATATTAATAAACACAATGATATTGATCTGTCTTAATTTATGACTAAGATGATCAATGGCAAGCTAATAAATATAGAAAGCAAGGAACTATTAGGATGAAACAAGTATCACCGGATTCATCTGATTTAGACAATTTCATTGGCTAATTACTGTCAGTACTTCAATACAGCCACCAGATTGTTAAAAAAAAAAAAAGCCACAGCTTCCACCACAGGGATTCAGTCTGGTTGGACTAACAGGCTGCTAAAATCTTTGACGTACTGAAGTGACTGACAGAAACACAAGTTACTAAAATGTGTTGTTTGTGGCAAGAATAAATATTAAATATTGTGGCAAGAAGATAGATTAATGTCAGTGGGATCGTTTTCTGTCATTGGACAGCTCGCAAAGCTCGGAATTTCAAGTTCCAAGCGATACCATGCATGTTATTGTGGACTGATGAGAAAATTTAATTATATTTATACAATTTAGTTGTTAAGAGAGTAATCTGTGAGGTGCATTGAAGGAAGGAACAACTTCATAAATAAAGTATTTAATAATAAACATAGTTGGAACAACATACAATTTTTATAACTATTCCATGTCTTAACCTGGTAGAGGGTTGAAACAATAAAATAGCACAAAGTCAAATAGTTTGTTATTATAGTCTGCAAGGCCAAAAATAGAGCTGAAAAATTCAGGACACAAGTAATATATAATTTGATAATCCGTATCCCTCAATCCATTGCAATTGCCAGTGACTTTTTTTAATGATCAGATGATCATCACCTCATTCATCTTAAACCCTGTTCTTATCTACCAACATTTTTTCTGTTGATAAAATCATTTAGAAATATATTTCGCTCTGCCAATATGCTGATGCTACTCCACTTTATCTACACATAGTAATAGACATAGAAGACCCTTCCAGAGCGTCCGCATTGTGTCAGGAGTTGAATGCCTGTTAACTGTTTATTGGTGACTGTGCGTGTATGTGTATGTGCGTAGGACAGAATTGTGCAACAGCGGAAACAGCTTCCTCATGTGTCCTCTCTGTAACATCTGCGACTACTGGAACTACTCCAGCATCTGTGTCACCTACAAGGTACTGGTCTGTCCATCTAGGTACCTGCCTGTAATGTTGTCAATAAGCATCTTCAGAATTACTGATCAGATTGTTGAACATCTGAAACCTTCTTCCTCAACACCTTTCTGATATTTGAGTTTGGGGGATGAATTAAACTTTTTTTTTTTAAACCTTTTGAAAGACACTGACTAACAGTGAGTGACAGTTTTCGCTCAGTTCTCTTTTCAATTTATTTGCTGTTAAAGCAGCTACTTTGCATTTAGAAATCCCCAGATGATTGGTAGTAGCTGAAATCTCCAATCGTCAAAGAGACTAGTCTAACAGTAACCCTGCAAGGTGATTTTAAGTTAAATCATGTCTTTACATTGAATTGGCCTGCAATCGCATAACCTCTAATATTTGCTTTGCATTCTGTCTGAGGAAACAGTAAGTTCACCTGTCTGGCTGACTGTCTTTTTGTCTGTTCACCTGTATGTCTCTGTAGGTGGGTCTCCTGTTTGATAATTCAGGGACAGTGTTTCTCAGTGTCTTCATGTCTCTGTGGGCTGTCACCTTCCTGGAGTACTGGAAGAGAACTTGTTCAGCTCTGTCTCACCGCTGGGACTGCTCTGAATTCGAGGACATTGAGGTCTCACTTGAACAAATACAAAAACTTTATGAGCATAGGAGGTTGTGTTATATAATTGATTAATATATGATGCTACTAAATATCTTCACATGTATTTTCGGGAGTTCATAAATGTCCTCTGTCCTCCACAGGAGCGACCTCGTCCAGAGTTCACAGCCATGGCGCCGATGACCATGAGGAACCCGGTGACCGGAGCAGAGGAACCTTACTTTCCTGAAAATAAGCGACTCAACAGAACTCTGACTGGCTGCATGGTCATCATCATCATGGTGAGTTTCCACAACATCCACTGGTGGTGATGACATTGCAACAATTAATGCAAAGTCAACCAATCCCTGTTGGTTGACTTTGGTAAAAGTAAAACTGTCAGTAAATGGCCAACATGTAAACAGTAAACATCACTAAAAAAACATTTCTATCAGAATTTTTTTACTTTTGTGTATTTTCATCAGATTTAGACTAATATTTGAAAGACATTCGGTTGCATCAGTAATATTATCTTGATTATGATGGTGATTTAAATTTTGGATTTTACAGTAGGCAGGGATAAAAATCTTATTTTTTACCTTTATTGCCTCTCCATTTACTTTGCAATAGTAATACAAATAGATTTACTTCCAATGTATTCATATTCCTTAGCTTCTTCCCTATCAAAACAAAAATGATTAAAAAAATTCTACACACTGGTCCTTTAAATCATACAAGGAGAATCAGTTAAATAAAATATCACTGAAGGACAGGTGTGGTACAGGAGCAGGGATTCCTCATAAGACATGAAACAATATTCACTCAGGTTGTGTTCAGGAAGTGGCAATAAGTTGAACATCCTGTGTGCAGATTGTTGTGGTGCTGATTTTCCTCATCGGAATCATTCTGTATCGCACCATCCTCCGAATCATCATCTCCAAGTCTGGCAACAGCTTTGTCAGTTTCTCTGTGAGTACAAGTGCTTCTTTACTTCTATATAAGGTTTAATGGAAAGATCAGAGATCTTAGGACACTTCCCTGAGGAACTCCACCACTTGTTGACCTCTTATCTAAAAGTGTGTTTCTGGTGTTCATTCAGGCCGGGAGGATAGCCAGTCTTTCAGGATCTGTGTTGAACCTGTTGGTCATCCTCCTGTTGTCCAGGGTTTACATCTCACTGGCTCACATCCTCACCCGCTGGGGTGAGTCACACATTCTTTCTCACCTTCCTTAATCTTAGTTTTAGTCTTATCTTTTAAAATCCTAATAATAACCTGTTAAAATCCACTTGTCTTAGGGTTAGGAGTTAGGGTTTTTTAAATAATAACAATTCAAGGTCATTCATCACATGAAAACGACAGGATGGACAGGGACATGTAAAGGGGCTGTGCAAATGACAACAGAATATAAGTGCAATATAAAGTAGATTTTTTCTGCTAAAAAGTTAAAGGTTTAAATTAAACCAAGTTAACTTACATTTATTCTGACTACAGTGAGATCAGGAGAGGAGGAGTTCAGATGGACAATAATGTGTACATTAGGGGAACAGTGGAGGGAGTGAATTATGATTTTATTTTATTTTATTTTCGTGTCATGCACACAAAGAGCCTAACCCTCATAGACAGACACCAAAATACAGTTGCAGGGGTCAGATGTTTCCTTTTATTACAAAATTATAGGTCATTTTATAAAATTATACATTCATTTCCAAATTACAGATATAATATCTTACACCAAACTATTCTGCCTTCTGTCCCGAATTTAGCAAATAGAATTTACATCCAATTTGAGTTTTTCATAATTAATATTCAGATTTCAAGGTTAAAATCAGGTAGATAGCAGATGAAAAAGGGTAGAGAGGTTTTGTGTACAGTATGGATGTATTCTGTGTACAGTGTGTGTATTAGTACTGTATGTACTGTATATATACACTGTGGGTGTGTTGTTGTTTCTGTCAGAGATGCATCGGACTCAGACTAAATATGAAGACATGTTCATCTTTAAAGTATTCATCTTCCAGTTCGTCAACTTCTACTCGTCTCCAGTTTACATCGCCTTCTTCAAAGGCAGGTGAGAACCAATCAGAACCAGGATTCACCTCAACGTTTCCATTCCTCCTCTTTTTTTATTTCCTTCCTTTATCCTGTATTTTTTGTTTTACTTTTAAATTAAAAGTGTTCAAATGAAACCCTGAAGTCAGGATGTTGAGTTTTGTGAACTTCTTCAAGGAGAAGGAAGAAGCAGTGAGATTAAAGGAGGAGCCACAGCGCCTCCCGCAGGCGGAAATATAGATGAAGTGTAGAATTTTACACATTATGTGTGTTGCAAATAAACAAGTTGGTTATGTCACCACATCTGATATATAATAATTATTTCATGACATCAAACCTTCACACATTAAAACCAAACAGGACAATATGACAACTAAAGCAGGGCACAGCACTCTGCAGAGTCTTTAGGTTATCTGCAAAAATAAAACACAGAGCGGTCAAATAGCAAAAGAGCCAGTAAACACAAATGTATGAGCATTAAATCCAAAAACAGAGCACACCCAGGTTGCCCTTACAGGGGATGCTCATCAACAACAGTAAAGTTACTTAACCATCACATAATGAACATATAGCATTACTTAAACCCCTTTAAGGGTAA